GTGAGAGGTGTGTGACTGTGGGGCGGGTGTGAGAGGTGTGTGACTGTGGGGCGGGTGTGAGAGGTGTGTGACTGTGGGGCGGGTGTGAGAGGTGTGTGACTGGGGCGGGTGTAAGAGGTGTGTGACTGTGGGACGGGTGTGAGAGGTATGTGACTGTGGGGTGGGTGAAAGGTGTGTGTGGGGCGGGCGTGAGAGGTGTGTGACTGTGGGGCAGGTGTGTGAGGTGTGTGACTGGGGCAGGTGTGTGAGGTGTGTGACTGTGGGGTGGGTGTGAGAGGTGACTGTGGGGCGGGCGTGAGGTGTGTGTGTGGGGCAGGTGTGAGAGGTGTGTGACTGTGGGGCGGGTGTGAGAGGTGTGTGACTGTGGGGCGGGTGTGAGAGGTATGTGACTGTGGGGTGGGTGAAAGGTGTGTGTGGGGCGGGTGTGAGAGGTGTGTGACTGGGGTGGGCGTGAGAGGTGTGTGACTGTGGGGCAGGTGTGAGAGGTGTGTGACTGTGGGGCGGGTGTGAGAGGTGTGTGACTGTGGGGCGGGTGTGAGGTATGTGACTGTGGGGTGGGTGAAAGGTGTGTGCGGGGCGGGCATGAGAGGTGTGTGACGGGCGGGTGTGAGAGGTGTGTGACTGTGGGGCGGGTGTGTGAGGTGTGTGACTGTGGGGCGGGTGTGAGAGGTGTGTGACTGTGGGGCAGGTGAGAGGTGTGTGGGGTGGGTGTGAGAGGTGTGTGACTCTGGGGTGGTTGTGAGAGGTGTGTGACTGGGGTGGGTGTGAGAGGTGTGTGACGGGCGGGTGTGAGAGGTGTGTGACTGGGGCGGGTGTGAGAGGTGTGTGACTGTGGGGCGGGTGTGAGAGGTGTGTGACTGGGGTAGGTGTGTGAGGTGTGTGACTCTGGGGTGGTTGTGAGAGGTGTGTGACTGGGGTGGGTGTGAGAGGTGTGTGACTGGGGTGGGTGTGAGAGGTGTGTGACGGGCGGGTGTGAGAGGTGTGTGACTGTAGGGCGGGTGTGAGAGGTGTGTGACTGTGGGGCGGGTGTGAGGTGTGTGACTGGGGTAGGTGTGTGAGGTGTGTGACTCTGGGGTGGTTGTGAGAGGTGTGTGACTGGGGTGGGTGTGAGAGGTGTGTGGCTGTGGGACGGGTGTGAGAGGTGTGTGACTGTGGGGCGGGTGTGAGGTGTGTGACTGTGGGGTGGGTGTGAGGTGTGTGAATGGGGTGGGCGTGAGAGGTGTGTGACTGTGGGGTGGGCGCGAGGTGTGTGACGGGTAGGCGTGAGAGGTGTGTGACTGTGGGGTGGGTGTGAGGTGTGTGACTGTGGGGTGGGTGTGAGAGGTGTGTGACTGTGGGGTGGGTGTGAGGTGTGTGACTGGGGTGGGTGTGAGAGGTGTGTGACTGTGGTGCGGGTGTGAGAGGTGTGTGATGTGGGGTGGGCGTGAGGTGTGTGAGACTGTGGGGTGGGTGTGAGGTGTGTGACTGGGGTAGGTGTGAGAGGTGTGTGACTGTGGGGTGGTTGTGAGAGGGGTGTGACTGTGGGGTGGGTGTGAGGTGTGTGACTGTGGGGTGGGTGTGAGGTGTGTGACTGGGGTGGTTGTGTGTGACTGTGGTGCAGGTGTGAGAGGTGTGTGATGTGGGGCGGGTGTGAGGTGTGTGATGTGGGGTGGGTGTGAGGTGTGTGACTGTGGGGTGGGTGTGAG